CGATTTCCATTGATACACATTGGAACAGACATAAAAAAAACCTTTGATTTGAATAAATGGATAAACCATTGACTTTTAACTTAAATTTCTATAATTGGTTTCTCACTGTTGGCACCAACTGATGGACCCTATCAACTTGGTGAATATCCTATTGGGATAGTAGAATTTATAGATTCAGAGAGTATTATGTGGGCCGATCCCGGCGGCACTGCAATGCCGGGCCGACCCGTGACGGGAGTGGAGCGAGCCCCGAACATCCCGTCGTTTTACAAAAATCAGTTTAATATACTGGTCCCGCAGTGCGGGAACTTTCAGATATTAAGCTGAAAAGAACAGATACTACACTTTGATCTTAGCCAAAAGGCCGAGAAGCGATACCGAGTTAAACTCATCCAAAGGTCTTATTCGATTTTAAAATATTTCACAATCACGATTCACATTTTTTCCAACTGTTAGTAGCGCCATCTGTTTTATCACATTGACAACGTGTATTATGTCAAACGATATAAAATTAGAAGTGTATCTTACTATAATCTATAAATTAAATGATTATAAATAAATGCGTTTTATTGTTATTTATTTGAATAAATTCTTTTTAATGGAAATAGGGGCAAATGATATATTTTAAAACATAACAATAACTATTTTTATACAAAATTCGCCGTAAAATCTAAATTCAAAATTTAAACTATTTGTTAAGCGTTTGGAAAGCCATCTTTTTGATAATTTACCTTGAATAGAATATTTTATTTATATACAGTATATTATTTATGTATGTATTTCATATAATTTTACACAAAAAAATGTCATGTAAATATGGTACACTCCACTACGACACTCTACATATGTAATAATGTAACATCGCACCCGCGGACATACCAATTATATAGTTTTTGCGGGGCCACATTTGTGCATCTATTTAAAATTTAATTTGTGTTTTCGGTAAAAAAAAAATTCAATAAAAAAATCAATAAAATTCAATGTGAGTTAACTAAAAATATCTCTCATTTTAATTATTTGAAATAATAAATTTTATTTGCAGTTACGATATGCCTAAACCAATGCAAGCTATCCAAGCAACAAAGGATGAACTGAGTGCTTTGGAGGATAATATAGCTGACATGTACTTGGAGTACAAGGGCGACCCACTGGTGGGCACGATTGAGCCCAGCATGTATATGGGCCGCCATCACACCGACGGCGACACCGCGCTAGAAGACGCCAGACCATACGTCTACGAAATCATAAACAACCTGATCGCGGTGCATGCTGAGGTTCGTAAACGTTATTGAATCATTTTACAATGATTGATATACAACAAAAACTAACTACTAACTCTCAAGAGTCCTTTTTAATAACACAAATATGACACAATATGAATGACAAGTTTGACCCTTCAAAAAATTGGGGTTTAAAAGAGTATCTAGGGTATTAATAGATGGCGCCACAAGGCTTTTACCTTACGCTATAGCTTGCGTATTTGAAAGAATGACGTGATTTGTTGTGCGAATTTCTAGTCAACTTTGCGCAGAGGCAATATCGTAACCAATGAGGTTAATCCGAGGTGCGATTATTGCTAGTTGAAAACTTTACCAATACCCCGCCTTGTG